AGTTAGGTCTTTATTAAATCTAACATAATCCCATAGTAAATTACCTTACATTGCATGATTTCACAGAAATTGAATTACATTAGCAAGTATTAAGTATGTATCAAAAAAGATAATTAGAAATGTCTGTTACATTTGTTGCTAATGTACTTATCTACATTTCTAGAAAAAATGTGTCTAATTGAATTGATTTTTGTCACTTGGGAAAAATTTAGTTATTTCTGATAAATCATTTTTTTAATTAACTTTGTATTATTGAGCATTAGTAGAGACAGAACTATTTTATAGTTTAGACAATGATAATTTTAGTATTTTGTATTTATTAATTTGAATTTAGTTATCATTACAGACTAATATCAATTCAGGAATCATTATAGATTAAATTTTACTAGATGGCCATCTTAAACTAACTTACATTGTATGAACGTGAATACCAAAGGTATTTTCAGTCTCACATCAAGTTTGTTGAAATCTTGTAGATCGTATTTCCAACTTCAGGTAAGTCGTTAATTATGATCAGATTGATATTTATTAATCGATTATCGATAATAGTTCAACTATGATAAATTCATATTCGTGATATCAAGTTTGTGACTTGCCTATTTATACGCGGTAAAATGTTTTACTACTAACATTTAACATTTATTTTAATTAATATTTTAATAATCTAGGCTATACCACAGTTACTTATCAAAAGTGAGGAGTAGGTTGGAAACATTTTACGCTAACCATTGTTATTATCAATGGCTTTATTTAATATTATATTTTTGGTACAATATAGAATTCTCAGCACAAAGTATTTCAGTAAGTTTCCTTTTCTTATTTCTTGATCGATCCTAACGATACATATTGAGTGATCACCAATTAGATATTGACAGTTCAAGAATCGACATCTGAATAATATTTATTTTTTTCAATCCATATTTCCAGCCATCATAAAGTTGTAAGTCGTACAGTGAATGATGGTAAACTTTTCACAAACCCGCCTGCATAGGTTATGCAATTAAAAGACATAATGATGTATTAAAACAAACAAAAGGAACAGATAACTTGTTGAAATATCTAGATAACAAGAACAGGTAGCCCAAATATTCAAGCAGGCCTTCAACTTGTTTTTAGATAGATAAATACTATTTCTAGAGCTCCAGATCAGCATTTAATTATATTCGAATGAGATAACTAAAGATAGGAAAATAAATAAATAAACACTCCACCTTACTACATTCAAACATTTATAGAAAACATTGAATCACAAAAATTCATGGGTTTTTAATATTATATCATTGAATAAAAGATTGAAACATGAAATTCTTAAACCCACATTGTTGATAAGTACAATGTTATATCAACAAGAAACTGAATAGTGATTGCATACTTGAGATGTTGAAGATTTGTTGCACAGGTGGATGATCGTGATAGTTTTGTTCTCTAGGATGGATTGTTTGGTCGTGGGGCTTTCATAGTTCCTCAGCAGTACAGTTTGCATATAGAAGTGCCGATGATGTCATTCAAAAGAACGATGAAAGCCTCACGACCAAACAATCCAGCTCAGAGAACAAAAACTTCATCAAAATGATTACATAATCTAACATCAGTGTCTTAAACGGAAGCTTGAAAGTGAAATGATTTTAGTGAGAAACAGTAGCATTAATAAGTATGTTTGTTTTTAAAGGTAACACCAATGATAAAGAAAATGTAATCATTACTGTACTGCATCATAAATCACACTAAATAAAATCAAATAGTTTACTTATTCATATGATATTTAGCAACATAAATAATAATAATAATAATTAAACAATGGTTTTTACTATCAGAAGGTATTTGTGGATGTTATAGTAATTTGAATGGTTGGGATCATGAATCAATTGAAGCTACACCACCATGAAAATCCTGGAAGCACTGGATGGCCGTTTCGTCTTATTTTGGGACTCTTCAGCAGAGTGTATCCATTACCTCGCCTCTCGAGATTCAAGCGCAGGAACTATCCACGAATCTCGAGAGGGGAGGTCGTGGATATGCACTGCTGAGTCCCACAACAGGACGAAAAGGCAGTCCAGTGCTTCCAGGTTTTCCATGTTGATCTATCTTCAATTGACACATGATCTCAACAATTGGAATTTTTTACATTTGTCGATATGTGTGATCCAAGTCATATTCCTTCTTTTTTATACTGTTCATTAAGTCCTCAAAGTACAAGGGTAGTAAATTTGGTTGTCATTTATGCCATACAAATATGCAAATAAATACTAATTATAGTACATAAGGTTGAATTATTTTCAATGAATTTTGTGATAATCCAATTAAATCGTCGATATTAAGTAAACCAGATTAATTATATATTTGGAATAAATTATCACTTTTTCTGTTGTAAATGGATAAATATTTGTTTGAATATATGTACAGTTACTGTAAGCGTATTAGTGCATTCGTACAAAACGATGTGTTTTAGTGAAATCTTAAAGTATATAAATGAAATTTGTATTAAAATCTTACTAGAACGTGATGAAGAAAATGAAAGTATATAGCTTATAAAAATGAGAAGGCTGGAAAATAACTTTAAATAATTCAAAGCTTTACATTCAAACTACTACTATACTAATAATAGTAGTTTGATAGATGTACTTACTTAGATCTCTTCTGAAAATTATTAAGTGAGTAGTTGATAAGTAAGAATTTCATTCCTTACGTAGGTCACTAATTCCTTAAAAAGCCCAGCAGTAATGTCTTATGTGATCACATTTGGTGATATCGGTTCGAATCTCACAAGTAGTATAATTTACTCAAAACGGTTAGTACATCTTATATCCTAGTATTAGAAGCAAGGAAATTGAAGTCCTAGGGTTTAGCAGATCACAGTCCATTTTTCTATATTGGATTGCTTATAATCCAAAGAACGTTTGGTTTTTCTTAATTAAAGTGAATAGTCAGTTTATTTTTATTCACACATTTGACTGTTATTGAAATCTTTCGTTAAACAAAATACTTCCAATTATGTATGGAAGAATGCAAGTGCTATAACATGGTGATGTGCTAAATACAATTTGTAAGCAAGCATTAATAGGATCGATTCACAGAAAAAGACTGAATATAGAGGATTTAACTTTGGGCTTATTTATGATTGTTATAGTTACCTTTATTGTAAAGTGTAATATCTCAAAACAATGATATAAAACTTCATGTTTCAGACTTTTAGTCCTAATGAGCTTCATTTATCTGTCTAAACTATAAATTAGAAAATAGATCCTGGCAATTCAGAAATACTTTGTCAATATACTATGATTATTGTTATCTTTAAGGTTTCATACTTTTATTAGAATGTTACGTTATAGTCAACCATAAGTTATGATCATGAAAGTACAGATACATAGATTTCTAGAAAATCACTTGATTTATTTAAAGAATCAAATATAAATGCTTAAATTGCTCCCTGGATTCAAAGAGTCAATAGTTCATTTTTAACTGTTCTTCTTTAATTTTCAGGTAGACAAAATCAGAGTAGTGATAAATCATATTATTTTAACAAACAACTTATAGGTATAGTCAGACAACAATGAAGCTTTTATGGTAATACATATACCACGATATATATGATAAGCATCTTCATTGTTATATAACCTTAGGTCTGAAAGAAAATAATAAGTAAACCCTATAGATCAAAGAATGTACAAATAACTAAAAAAACCCTACCAAAGATTTTTATTATCGGTCTACCATATTAATCATGTTATATTCAAATTATCCGCTTCGTGTGTTTAGAATACTGTGGTTTAGAATATTGGGATTTTTCCAATTAATTATGTGTAGATTTTTTGAGCCTCAATGATATATTTTTAAAACAAAATCGATAATAAATTATAGGAGATACTGATGACTCTTATGTTATAAGGAACAATGATACTAGTTACCAATGTAACGTAAAACTAATAGAGAACAATATATTTATCAATACCATATTACCTTAATTTAGAAATGAATGAATTGCCTAAAACTTAAAATTTGAACTAGATTGTCAGTAAATACAACAAAAGTAATAATAATATTCTTCAGTTTTCAATGGATATTAAGGTGATATCCAACGATGATAAAAACCAAATTCATGACAAACAATCATAACGAACCATTCAACTAAATAATGCTTTTGTGACCATTAGAAATCAACTAATAAGATTAGTGCTGTTACTATTTGTCATATAAAGAATTTGAGTAAACAGATGATTGACTCATTAGTTATATTTTATCGTAATCACAATGAGAACTAAAGAGTTTAATGAAAACATTGAATTGGTCGTTACTGGAAAATCTTAGATCAATTTTTTTGAAATAAAATAAACTGAAAATATTATTGTCACTAGTAAACATCATATCTTCATTAAGGAAGTAATCTAAATCTTTCTAATCGTTTAACACCATAATATATTCATACATTAGGTTTGAAAAATGTTTCACATTTACCAAAACGTGGTATTTTATGTAAAAATCATTATCAGACGTTGACTACAAAATTTTAACTCAAACTTTAATTATAAAGATTTTAAATAACCATTTTAGACTCACAGAAATGTTTTAAATTAGTAAGCTATAATCGTACTTTGACTTTCATGTAATCCAATATATAGGTAAATCTGTAACAAAAGAACACTTCTATCCTGATCCATTTTAACTGGATATATTTAGTGTTTAAACCTGTAAAAACATTTCATATTTTTAGAAGAAACCATTATCAAAATTTTATAATATAAGCTTAGTATTGGGATTGCTATAGTTATCGTTATATTATAACTATCTACCATACAATCTTTTACCCAACATGATAGCCAACTAAGTTTTTACCAGCTTTTCTCTATAGTAAAGGAGGCAAGTAAACATATCGCCAGTTTCATCACTATACATAGTTAATAATTAAAATGTTTGTATACTTATATATGTAAATATACATAAATCGTTTTAAGCATAAGCATTTCACAACTGAATATTATCTAAATCTATAACAAATAACTTACTGTAATGATGATTGATTGTTGTAATATACAAAGTCAAGATTAAACAGGTTTGAAGCAATTTTAACACATATTCTTCACACATAAATAAAATCATACTTTGATTAAGTCACTATCTATCATATACAATTGAAATATACCTCATCAATCAGTTGCATTCATATTCTTCAAATGATGTCTATACAGTTGAAAATAACATCAAATATTATGCTTTGTTGTAAATAAACAATATTTATCAAGTAAATGTATTGTAATTTATTGTTTTGTTCATCTTTTATGCTCCGTTCAATATAATAACATAATGCTTTCATTTATGATTTTATCCGGATTACATGAAATCCAATTAATTATCAATGTCATTTACACTTTTAAAGAGACAGTATTCTTCGATTGTTTACAAATTAATAACTATTCAATAAAATTATATTAATTGTAAATAAATAAATAAATGAATAAATAAACACCAAGTTGATCCCTTCTTTATCATTGGTCTTCTTGATAACAGTGAACATATCAGGTTTTTTCTTGTACATTTATACATCTAGTTCTTTTTCGTTGCTAATTTTCTTTCAGAAAAAAATTTATCAAAGATAATTTGATTTTATCCATTTGACAGACATTAATGTTTGTCTCTGGACTATTTTGGAATTATTTTCTTTTCCTGTTTTTCCTTCATTTTTATTCATTCATTTATGATGTTTGTTTTTTTTCCTTTATAGGTATGACAAGCATAAACAGAAGAGAAATCTCTTCTCCAATTCGTTAATTTAAATAACTTGAAGTGGAAGAAAAGCATAAACATCAAATAGTAAGGAAATAGCAATAATAATAAGAATAACGTTAGTAATAATAATAATGATAATATAAAAAACAATTTAAAGTTGGGCTTGATAATTCCTGCTACTACTTCTACTACTACTACTACTACTACTACAATAACTATTGTTACTGTCGTCCAATAAATACATGTATTCCCTCATTGGTCTATTTTACCTGCCCTAAACGTTGGTTGGCGAATTTGTGTTTTTTTATGAGATTACTTCAAACAGATGTAGCCAAAATATATATTCTTTGTTGTTATGCAAGAAAAAATAACATAGATTTGTAGTCCATGTTGTCTCTATATACGCTATGACTAGGTGGTATTTATTTATCTGTTCATTATACTTTAGCTAGTGACTAATTTAGAGTGGTAGACAACGGAGTTCTAGTGAAAAACTGCGATCGACGGAATTAAACCATTTTGAGTGTGAGTCAGTCACCCAAGTTAATTGAGCGATATCATGAACTGATTAAAGTTAAACGCTCAAACTGTTGGATTTGGGCTTAGTTTAGACGTTCAAACGCCGGACTTCAATTCCTAAGTTCGATCTACGTTTGTGTGGTGAATATTCACCAAGCAGATATTCTTTTAAATTTTTAATGATTATTTAACTATGATAAGTCCGCAATCTCAAGTAAAAGTGACATTTCCCTAATATTGTAAAACTCTAATGTTCTTTTTTAAATTTCCATTGATGCTGTCAATGTAATTTACTTGTTTAAAATCAACCTTAAAATGAGATTTAACCATGAATTAATCTCGTTTATGCAAGAAAAATACAAATATCTAGATAACATTGCAATTAATTAAAATAAGAATCAAATGAAGTTTGACTTTTTATATTTTATAACACAAATCTTATGTAAATAGAAATGATACTATATATTCATAATATAAGTTTTGAGTAAAACAAGATTGAATTAATTTATAAACCTTCACAATGATAGACAATATTTATCATGAAATTATTAAGCTGTTAAGATTATTACTAAATAATGATACTAATGTCATTGATAGCAAATAAAATGATTATTTTCATTTCTAATTAATTTTGGTATAGTTTTGTTCTCTGAGCTGGATAGTCTGATCATGGAAATTTTATCGTCATTCTAAACGGAATCATCAGCACAAACGTCAAGTAGTTTACGTGTAATTTGTAGTGACTTTGCTTCGTTAATCGATCACCTCGATAACAGCTATATTATTATCATCAACAGTGATTGAAATCGCAAGGCAATCATAAGCTGCAACTACAGTTTATTAACATATAGCCAACATCACAAAGCTATAAACACATCGAGCGAATTTGACACAGAAAGGCCAATAACTATATATGAGCAATTACATAGGCAAATTTATAGTCAAATAGAATAAGGGCACATCAAAGCAAAGCAAAGCAAAACAATGCTAATAATATGGTTTGAGCACATATATATATATATATATATATATATATATATATATATATATATATATATATATATATATATGGGGAGGAGGGTGGAACTTCGAGTGATATTTACGCAATCAACATTTTAGCTAGAGTGTGTCATGTGCTCTAATGATCATAACACTACAAATTGATATTCGAATTGTTGCTGTCCCAATGACATTGTCTGTTAAGTAAGTTAATAAAAGGGTTTAGCCAAATATTAACCGTGATCGAAATTGTTTGTAGGATAGTTACTATAAGACCATAATAAAACAAAATGGTTTGCAGTTTTCAGATAAATACTGCTCAAGATTAAGCAATTATTTTGATCAATTTCGACAACTCTTTTGAATATTTGCAGTTTAATTTAAAAAACCCAAATATGATCGTTCTATTAAATTATAATATGTAGCTTGCGTTGACTGAAAAAGTTCTAATGATTGAGAAGTAATAAAATTTATTTTACAGTGATATAACATATCTTCGTCACAAAATAAACCATCACTTTTAAACTAAAGAAGAAATAATATTTGAAATATTCTTAGCGATTGAAATTTAAGATCTACCTTATTCATATTTCGAGGTCAAATTTACAGACAGAAAGAGGGTATAGCAATGGGCTCACCAGTTTCTCCGATTGTAGCGAATTTATTCATGCATTCCCTAGAAACTAGTGCAATCGCAAAAAGTTTATGTCCACCAAAGTTATGGTTAAGGTATGTAGACGATATTTTTATTATCAATAAACGGGATGGTATGGAAGAACTATTTAACAATGCAAACAGCATTTCTGAAAACATTAAACTAACTAAGGAATTAGAATCAGTTGACCACAAACTAGCATTTCTAGATTGTCTGGTTGAACGTCGACACAATAATAAGAAGTTAAAAATAAATGTTTACAGAAAATCAACGCATTCCGAGAGATACTTGGATTTTAATTCAGCCCATTCACAGAGCACGAAAATTAATGTGGTAAAAAATCTAATGAACAGAAGTACTAAGATTGTTACAGACAAGGAAGACCAACGAACCGAATTAAATAAAGTATTTTCTACTCTTAGGGATAACAACTACCCAAAAAGGTTTTTAAAAAAGATTATTAAAAATGAAAGAAAAACTAAACTAGAAAGTATACGAAAAGAATGGAAGTACACCGTAGTCATACCTTACCGGAGTGAAACATCAGAAGAAATCAAACGGATTCTAAACAAACATGATATAAGAGTGTATTTTAGAGCAAATAACACATTAAGATCGACATTGGTGAAAGTTAAGGACAAGTTAGCAAAGGAAGAACAACAGAACATTGTGTATGAGATTCACTGTCATGACTGTAATGCTACCTATGTTGGAGAAACATCCAGGCAATTAAATGTAAGATTGAAGGAACACAAACAATGCTTGAAAAATGTTCCAAAATCCTCGGTAGATTTAAAGAAACTTGAAAATAAGTCAGCGATAGCGTTACATGCGTTAGAAACAGGACACAAGATTAATTTTGAAGGGACCAAAATACTTCAGAAAGGTTTTAACACCCATAAAGAAAGATTGACAGCAGAAGCTCTGCATATATGGGCGAACAAGAACAGCCTGAACCGAAAAGATGGTATTCAAATGGCAACTACCTGGCAAATTTCGTTTGACAAGTAAATTTGGAACCTATCTCTTGTTTAAACCTGTTTTTAATATCACATGCATCGTTATTATTATTGAAAGAACTGAATGAGTTTTTAAACAATACAATTTATGTTTTGACATGCACATCGATCTTTCATTATCAAGTTTTCATCCTTGAACTTGAACTTTATTTATTCCTTCATATCAATCTCTCACACATACATACATACCTACACACTCACACACATACGATTTGTTACTCAGTTAAGTATTTCCATGTAGTTGAATTCATCACATGATTTGTAGTTAACTGACTCATTTTATCCTATTTTACAAAAAATCAACATCCAAATATGATTGGTTTAACACAGTATAATCCTGATTGTTAAAAGCTATATATTTCTTTGATAATTTTGATTTTGATTATTACCCTGAAGAAGTCCAGACAAGTTAGCTGGACGAAACGTTGGAATTAGTTAAATTTCAATCGCTGAGAATATTTCAAATATAATTTTCACATATAATGACTTCTCTATACTCGGCGCTCAATTACTGTCAAACTATTCGTTCTAATCTTGACGAATATTCGTATAAAGAAGAAATATTTAACGAAATAAATGAACCTCAAGGTTGTTCAAAAAGGATGGATAAACATTGTTAAAACTAAGCAAAATTTCATATAGAAAAATATTTCCCAGTTTTTTGGACTAAACATATACCGAGAGTCGAATACATTACCTTTCGCTTTAAATGCTAATAAGTTCTGATGTACCAAGATCCTTGAAATAAACGACGGGAAAACACGGGCCCTTAGATCTATTCTTTCGCGGTTATAAAAAAGTATAAATATACTTGGAGTCTTCCACGAGCGTTTTGAATTTTATACAAGATCGTTGGAAAAACTACTGCAAGGCGAGAGCAACAAATGAAACCATTTTATTTAGTGTATTTCAAATGTTCGTTGTACAAATTTGATGATTGAGAGTTTTTACAAATATAGATTTATGTGAAACATAAATGGAGTAACCTAACTCACTGATAAAAAATAATCATAATTGCTTTTCAAAAACATACAAGTTCAGTGCATGTTGAAGTGGAATGAGTGAGACAAAGAGATAATGACGTAATCAACTAAGAAGAACATCTATAAATTGTTAGTAGTAGAGTAGAAAAATCGGTCATAATTATAAAAACAGTAGTTAACAATATCATGATTACTTCG